CACCCCACCAATGGCATTTAAACCAAATGGGGACTCGACTTTTGTCCCCAAATGCACCAGTTGTCCCCAAAGGTAGGCATTTTGTCTTAACCCCCCACCCCAACACACACACACACACACACACACAGGGACTAAATTAGAGTAATCATGTGTTTTTGGACTGGCAGGAAAATGGAATACCCAGAGAAAACAGATGAGAACGTGCAAAGTCTACAAACAAGACCCAGAATTCAAACCCGGGACCTTCGTGATGTAAATCTAACTGCTCCACTGCAGCCCTGAATACAAAATATCTTAACTAACTATGCAAATGAACCAGTTCAGTCTGTGGTGCTGCTAAATTTACTTGAAATAAATATCAGGATGTTCGTAATACAGATTGAATGCTGTTAACGTGAGCTTTTTGCCACACTTTTGCAAATTTCAGCTTTTAGCAACTGCTTTTACTTTTAGCTACACTTTGGCATTTTTTTTAGCTTTAAGCTATGGTTTGACCAGTTTTACCTTCTATTCTCCTGGTTTTAACTTAAATGATTCGATTTTCTGAAGACCACTACTTGGTGTTTGACAATCATGCAAAGCCAGGCGAATCCCAAGAATCCAATTTGGTTGAAAAAAACAAAACAACGTGTTGCTATAAAACATATCAGGGAAACAAAACTTAAAACGAAACAGTAACTTTCTGAATGTTTGCCTGAGATTTCTTTCAGCCCACAGATCAGGGGCTGAAGTCAGACGCCTTGTTGAAAAAGATGTTAATTACAGAGAGCCAGTGAAATGAACAACAGGCCCGTGSGACTGGATGTGTGAGCAGCTTGGACAAAAAAAACAAGCCTTGTGGTTCACAAAGTTGTTTGTCTGGTGACTTCCTTTTTAAAAGAGCGAGATTAGAGTGAGAATTAGTGTCATTTGACAGCTTCTCAGCTGTATGTTTTGTTTGTTTACAGCAGTAACTTGTTAAAAACTTTCTTTGTCTCCCACGTGTTCTTGTCCCACCTGTTAATATTACAGTTTCACATCAATTAACAGCATCTTTTAATCTAATTTGTCTAAATTTAGTTGCTTATTATCACGTTAAATCTTTAATGTAGTTGAGATTTAAAATTTAAATTGAAGTGTATTTTCCTCCAGTAGAGGGCAGCACACACACCAATGAACTGCACTTGAGTCTTTGCTGTCATCATTYATTTTTAAAGATATGTTGCTTCCAAGAATCCAGACTTTCTTATTTTCAATATTTGATCAATATGTGGCATAATTAATCAAGATTCATTCAGGCTTTCTGAAGATCTTCAAATGTTTATCTTTGAACTTTGGTTGCATTTTTCCCTTTTTATTAATTTACTTGTCCATTTTCATACGAATGTAATTGTTTGTAAAGCTGCTAAACTCAGACCTTTCTATGAATCACTCAGACATAAAAAGACTCTTAAACTGAAGGAATGAACCGAAGTTGTGTTGACACATGAGCAACTTGGCAAACATGGATATTTAGAATTTTTTTCAGCAGCAGACTGTCACAAGAATAGAATAGAATAGAATAGAATAGAATAGAATAGAATAGAATAGAATAGAATAGAATATTACCACCTTAGAATCAGTGCATGTTAGAGTTCAGGGTGATTTGGGAAAAAGCTGTTTTTTTTTTCTGATGCACCTGTAGCGCCTCCCTGGGGGCAGCAGGTCAAACAGGTTGAAAGCCAGGGTAGAGATGTCTTTGCTGAGTCAGCAGGAAGTGTAAATGTCCTTCAGAGAAGGGAGAGGGCAGCAACGATCCTCTGAGCTACCTTTATGTCTGTCTGGAGTCTCACTCTGTCTGCAACAGTGCAGCTTCCGTACCACATGCATTATGTCAGCAGGCCATCGATGGATGAATGGTAGAAGGTCAACAGCTTGGAGCTCAAGTTTTGCTTCCTGAGGACTCTCAGGAAGTGTAGCCGCTGCTGAGACTTCTTGATGATTGCTGTGATGTTGTCTGTCCAGGAGATGTCAGCAGGGATGAGGACGCCGAGAAACCTGAAGGTATGGACCCTCTCCACACTCTCGCCATTGATGTAAAGAGGGGCTGGGTCAGTGCTGCGCTTCCTGATGTTTTTGGTTGTCTTGGAGTTCAGAGTGAGGTTCTCTGAGTACCAGGCTGCATCTTCAGGACCTCCCCCTGTAGGCTGCCTCATCACCCTGTGAGATGAGACGGACCACTGTGGTGTCATCAGCAAACTTGACGATGCAGTTTTTGTTATAGGTCAAACTGTAGTAGTGGGTGTAGAGGAAATAAAGGAGGGGGCTCAGCACACAGCCCTGCGGGGGAGCCAATGCTTAGTGTGTGAGTAGAGGAGATGGGGGCCAAGTTTCACAGCCTGGGGTCGGGTGGTGAGGAAATAATTAATCCAAGGACGTGAAAGGAGAAATGCAAGGTGTAATCAGTTCAGTGATGAGTCTGTCCAGGATTATTGTGTTATAATCCACAAAAAGCATCCGGACACAGCTCTGCTGCTGCTCCAGGTGGTTCAGCGCTGAGTAGACAGCTACAGCAACGGCATCCTCTGTGGATCTGTTAGCACAATATGCAAACTGGTGGGGTCGTACTGTCGTAGTCTGTGGGGCTGTGAATCTTTATGTGCTGCAGAACTCTCTCAAAGCACTTAATAATTACAGGAACCACGACCTCCAGACGGTAATCATTCAGACTGATGATGGGAGACTTCTTCAGCACAGGGATTATAGTTGTTGATTTTAGGCAGGCTGGGATGACTGCCTGGGCCAGGGAGAGGTTAAAGATCTTGGTAAAGGTGAGGGCAAGGTGGTAGCCGCCCACTTTGAGCATCTTGGTACTCCGTCTAGGACGGTAGCTTTCTTGGGGTTCACTGCCAGGACCACCCGTCTGACAACATGCTTCTGTACAATGAGTGGAGTGGTACAGGATCAACGTGGGAATGGGGGCGGGGTCAGGGATGGAGCAGAAGTGCAGAATGCTGCTGATCTGTTTCAAAGCGAGCAAAGAAGCAGTTTAGCTCCTCTGTCAGTGGTGCACTCTGGTGACACATCACAACCTCTAAAGTTTGTGATGTCTTGTATGCCCCGCCACTCCTCCCGTGCGTTGTTGCTGGACAGGTGGGACTCTGTGCCCACCCTGTGGTTCACCTTGGCTTGTTTTATTCCTCTGTTCAGGTCAGCTTGAGCAGCTTTGTACAGAGCTCTGCCACCTCACCTGGAGACAGCATTGCGGGCCCTGAGATGTGTGTGAACCTGGCTTCAATTCAGGGTTTCTGATTAGAAGTCACACTCGACATAAGAAACAATTTATTTGCATTTTTGTTGTTGAATCTGTAGAAAAACACTAAATAAAACATTTCCAGACATAAATAACATTTTTGCACAAGGTGATTTTCAAAGAATTATAGGCTGAAAACCTGACATCCAGGATCTGCTGAAGGATGAAACATCAGCAGGTTTGTCTGTGTCGTGACTTATATGAATATAAACTGGTAAAGTTCATATATTACTAACAGAATAGCTTGTGTGCTGTGCTTTTATTTATGAATGTATTATAGTGGGAATGAGTTTGAAATGATCATTTGTTTCAGTTGTTAGTCCATCAAAAAGAACCCCACAAAACACAGGATGTTTCAAATGCTATTTATGACATAAAAACACAAAATTCATGTTTCAATATACAGGAACAAAAAACAACAAATGTCACTTTTTCTTTCAGGACTTGGCAACACACTGTTATGATTACACTCAAAACTATTTACACTCAACCCGATGATGACAGATGAGCACATCGGCTTTTTTTGTTTCCATTTTTCCTCTTAATGCCTGATTATTACATGTACTTTGCGTGAGCGTGTCAATGTGGTCAGTCCAGATAACACTCACAATGGCAGGGTTGAATCAGTCCATCAAATGGGAAGACATTTTTGCTWATCTGAGTGGAATAGAACACTGGATGTGATCCCAGAATGAACCTGTGAGTCACTCAGTGAGAATACAGTTAAAACTGCTTCAGACGTTGGTTTTTCTTTGGGGGATAAAGTCAAACTGGTCCCTGGAGAGGATTCATTGCCATTACAAAAATAGCTTCATAAAATGCAGTGGAAAAGGTAAACAAAAAGAATATCAACATTAAGAGACATAAACATCTGAGCGATGATGTCAAACATGACATATTTCACGTTTTCTATGAGCTCATATGTACAGATGCTGAAACAAACACATTCAAACCACCAAAACCAGATTGATCTGCAGCAAAGTTCCATTTAACGCTGACATTTTCTGCAGCAACAGATGCCAGAAAGGTAAAACGAGTTCATGAGGGTCACTCCTCCAGCTGATCCAAGCTGTTTGGCCGACGAGACGGACATGGTGCTCCGTCACAAAACGAGACCGAGTGGATACTGGCAGCCACACTCTGAGAAGAAATATGAAATAAATGTATTTAATTATCCAGGGGATGAGATGAGAGGTTAAATATCTGACATCGAAACTAAAAAGACACAGGATTTATCAAATTAGTTGAACTTTTATGTAGAATGTAAAAGATTCTCATATGAGTGCATTAAAGGAGAATGTGGACTTCTCTATTTTGCACCATGACACCAGTATCAGTTTCACATTAGGCCACATGTCAAACTCAAGGCCCACGGGCCACGTCTGGCCCTCATTAACATTTTWTCCAGACCCAAAGGTAATACCATGTAAAATAGTTTCATGGTTTCATTTTTTGTCACTGTATTTAGCTTGCTTTTTTCATGACAGCTGGCCAACTTCCAACCCAAGAAACTGAAGTTTGAAATTTTTGGTAATCTTTGATTTTTGAGAACAACAGAGAGTCAATTTGGATCATGATCTTTTTCTGTATCCTCTTCTTGTGTAAAAGTCAAATTCCTGGATTTTTATTTCTTTTAACAGATTGCTGGATTGTGGTAAAATGCACTGCTAAGAAATAATAAATCATAAAGTTTTTGTTTAGTGTAAGATTGAAAAATATAGTGTGTTCAGTTACTATGATATGTGCAGAGGACAAAGCAAATGCAGAATTAAGACTTGAATGTTATGCGTAAGCAAGAAACACAAACTAAATAGTAAGTCGCTTACAGACTTTATTTTGCAAAATTGCATCAGTGAAGGAAGGGAGGTCACATACAGTATATACACTTTATTCCAATTCTGGTCACTCCCTAGGGGCCAGCCGTCATGTTGATTGGTTGTTTTCCCTACCATGTGACCAGAAACCCTTAGACAACAGAAAACTGAGTTCTTATGTTAAAATATTTACATGTTGTAAATGCTTCAGGTGAGTATTAACTAATATTGAAAGAGCACACTGCTTGAAGTGACCGTGACATAAACCACTCAAAGCAGACTGTACGTTATCAGAAGCTACCCTAGTTCTCCTAAAACAGTATGTGTGATGCATTTAAAAATCATTAGTAAATAGAATAAATTTTCCTTCAAGACAAATGAATGCTAAAGATGCATCTTTCTAAATTTAATCTGCTTTCTTCATACATGAGGTTATTTACGTTCGAAATGCCACATAAAATATAATTTGGAAAAAGTTAATTTGTATTTGTTTAAAGGCACAGTGTGTAGGATTTGATGTTTTCAGCGACATCTAGTGGTTGAGTGGTTGAAATATCCTCCCTGGTCCTCCTCCCCCCCCCCCGCCCCCGCTTCCAAA